AAAACCCCACACCTTTTGCTCTCAATATTTGAAATCCATCTTGTAAAGCAAAATCTTTTTATTATCAACCTTTAGAGATTTATAAATGAAATGGCTAATGATTTTGAAACATGGGTTTGTTTATTAACTTCTAGAAACAGGACTATCTCTGTGGGAAGCAAAGAGTTGGGCAAAAGTCCTGTGCAGTCAAAGTTTTGTTCCTTCTCTGAGCTGGGCTGGGTTTCACCTCTTGGTCCACATTACAACTGTCCATGTACAGAACTTCTGGAATCTCTTCCCTGGCTTGCACCTTACTATCCTTCAGATCCTCACGTAGACAGTCCTTCCTCTGCTGTGTTTTTCCTGATACCCCATGGACTAGATTAGAGCTTTTTACATGGTACCATAATTTCCTGATGCCCTGAGATTGGAGATCTTTACACAGTACCATAATTCCCTGCTTATTCATTTCTCTCCCCTCATTATACTTTTAAGACTCACAAAGGCAAAAAACATATCAGCTCTGCATGATGGTATTGTCATTCCAGTGCCCAATAAATATTGGCTGAATAAATGAATGAAAAACATATTGCATTTTCATGCTTTTTTGGTGGCCATGGCACGAAGCATTTATGGGCTCTGTTTATTAGAAACTTATCTTCACCTTCCTCTATAAAATCAAGATAAAAATATTAACCGTTTAAGGTACTTGTAAGATGGGGTGGGTCAGTCGTTCTTAACTGGGAGCATTTTGCCTCACCAGGGGACATACTTATGGCAATGTCTGGAGACATCTTCGTATGTACACAGCAGCTCCACAAGAAAAGAATTATCTGGCTCAAAATCTGAATACTGCTGATGTTGAGAAATCCTGGAGGAGGTGTCAGTACAGAGAACTTGGTTAGTCAAAGGTGATTTTATTTTACTTTACATTTTGGAGTTCACCTTTTTGGATATCATTAATAATAACAAGTACACAGAGAATAACAGTTTTATTTATTAGGTTTTTGCCATGTGTCAGGCACCATATAACTTTTCACAAATATTATCCTATTTAATCCTCTCAACAGTGCTGTTGAGTTAGGAACTATTTTATCCCCATTTTTCAGATAGGGAGACTAAGACTTAAAAGGTTAACTGGGCTTCCCTGGTGGCACAGTGGTTGAGAGTCCTCCTGTCGATGCAGGGGACACGGGTTCGTGCCCCGGTCCAGGAGGATCCCACATGCTGCAGAGTGGCTGGGCCCGTGAGCCATGGCCACTGAGCCTGTGCGTCCGGAGCCTGTGCTCCACGGGAGAGGCCACAACAGTGAGAGGCCCGCGTACCGCAAAAAAAGAAAAAAAAAAAAGTTAACTAATTTATCTAGCTCCTAAGTGCCAGAGGTGGGATGAGAACTCAGAGGCTATGCTTTTGATCATTATACTATACTGCTTTCTCTATAAATACAGTCTCCATTTTAAGGTCTAAAAGGTCTTTTTAAGGTCTTTAAGGTCTAAGGTCTAAGTTTAAAAAAAAAAAGGTCTTTAAGGTCTAAGGTCTAAGTTTAAGAAAAAATCATTATTGCCTAGGTGGTTGCAGTTTTACACTTGCACTAATTTGAACAAATATACAGTCTACTGGCTGATATAATATGTAGGCAGTTGTTGATCCAGGAATTAGGACAAGTCTATTTTGCACAGTTATTTTATGGAATTCCCAAGAAGCACAAAGAAAACCCTGAGAGTTTGTTTTCTTTCAACACTGAACTTGCCATAGCTGATCAACACAGCACGATCTAGATGGGACTTTTCTCCTATTGAGGTGGATAAACAGTGACAGTTTGCCCCATGTAATCCCATTAGGAGCTTTCTTCAGGACCACATCCTCTTCTTATGTAATTATACAAGAACCACTCACGAGTAAAGTCCCCCTGCCAAGAGAGCAAGGCCTGGGGCAAAGGGTTGGCTGATAGGGCTTTTTCTCTCCTTACAGAGGCAGTTGAAGCAAGTGGAAGAGTTGCAATCTGGATGCACAGTGATGATCTACAGTGATCCCTGAGTACTTTGTTAGCTCGCAATCATTATTGCCTTGAGGCTCTTCACTGATCAAGGTTCTAAACAAATTCTACCATCTTCAAGCACTGGTTTGTTGTTTCTAGGGCCTTAAAACTTGGCTTGTAAATGCCAAGTTGAGAAGTATCTATTCTTTTTACATAGGAATTTAAAGACCCTGGGGCAGCTGTGTTTTCTCCCTTGGAAAATTCCGTTCATTGTGTGCTACTATCACACTTTGAAGATTCCCATGGAATACTCAAAAATGTGTTAGAATCTATTCTTTTGGTTTCACTTTCCTACCTTTTTTGAAGAGTAAATGCTAATAGCACCAAACAGATTTTTGTTCTTAAATAAATCATGCTTTATGAAAGTAGGCCCCCTCTGATTACAAATAGCTCTTTAAGCTCCTCCTGGATATTAGTGCTTGTCATTCAGACATACATTTTCAAGGGTCTGTTGAAGCCAAGTGATATATTTAGTCATTGCATTACTCTACCTGTAAGATGTCATTTACATATAAGATGCAATTTGAGACCATCTCCTGGGGACGAAAGTGATTAGTATGCCTTATGCTTTTACTCTTCTCAGATGAATCATTTGACATGCTCTTGCATTTATTTTACACTTAATAAATTAAAACATTTGAAAAATTAAATAAGACGGCACTGTGTTTAGGGCAGTGTTTCTCTAATTTTAACGGGTACGCCCCAGGCTCTTGCTAATGTGCAGATTCTGTTTCCAGCAACTTCCCAGGTTCATGCTGTTGGACCAGGGATCACACTTGAGTAGCAGGCTATTAGGGAACATTGAGATGGTTTGAGAATTTGAAACCTGAGCTAGGGATGGCATCAAGGTGATGGCATTAAATTCGCTTTTCCTGCACTACGCTTAGTTGTATTATAAATTCTTTAAGCGTATAGGGAGATTTTTGGCAGAGAGGATGACTCCTGTTCCATGTGATAAAACATATATTTGTAATTTTTAACAAATTAAATAATGCTTAATTTTTAATAAAGTATCACATCCATCTGTTTTGCCTGGAAAGATATTCCCTATACCCCCTCCTTTTTTTTTTTTTAAGTTTTCTGAACAATAGAAAAATGAATATTACCGTTTCTGGTCATCAAAGGCATTTTTTAGATGGCTCACAATATTTCAAATTGTAGAACAAATTTACAAGAGTCTGGACATTTAAATAGTAGTTACAATGGTTTTTGTTTTTTTTCTTTTTTAATTACCTTTCTAAAGATAGCTAAGGGAACAATTTCAAATACTTCCTCTGTGCTTTACATATAAGTTGTTTCAATTGTTGCATATTGGTAAGAATTAAGAGACTTCCGGCTTGCCATGTCCTGTCACCAGTTAGCTTCTTTTGTAGGG